GGGGGGGTCGGCCTCTGCTCCCTGGTAACAGATGATAGGACGAGGGGGAATGGTTTGAAGCTGCGCCAGGGCAGGTTTAGGCTGGACATTAGGAAAAACTTCTTCACCGAAAGGGCTGTCAGGCTCTGGAATGGGCTGCCCAGGGAGGTGGTGGAGTCCCCATCCCTGGAGGGATTTAAAAGAAGGAGAGATGAGGTGCTGAGGGCCAGGGTTTGGTGGTGGGATGGCAGGGGTAGGTTAAAGGTTGGACTTGATCTCAAAGGTCTTTTCCAACCAAAGTGATTCTAGGATTCTATGATTCTTCCAGGTTTCTCTCAAGGCACTTCACTTGCGCTTTCCTTCTGAACAACGGGACTGGTGTATAAATACGTGCACAGGCACGACAGACCTTTTCCCCAAATAAATCAGATTTTGCACTGTTCTTAGCATTAAATACCTCAGGTGCCTCTAAAGTCGCTAGGAAAATTACTCCTTTTTTAGGAGCATTCCAAAGTCGAAGCACCACAGAGCGCAGCGCGTACGAAGAATGGCGACACTGAAGAGCAACAAAGCTGTTGGCGGTGCTCCCCCGCGTTTAATCCTCCCCTTATCCCTTTTACCTCTTCGTATTTGCGGTCGGCTTCTTCAGCAATGTGCTTCGCCTCCTTCAGCTGCATTTCCTGAATCTCCATTTTCTCTTCATCTTTCATTGCTCTGTTCTCAATGACCTTCATTCCTCTGCAGAAGTTAAAGCGAGGGTGTTTAATGCAGCAGCATTTTAGCACGTTTATCTCAAAGGTCCTAAAGTGGAATTCCATACGCGTAACCAAAAAGTGGCCCGTTATGGCCACGCCATCACGTTCTTCAGAGCCAACAGGATTATTCAAGCTTATAAAAAAAGTCTCTGACCTGCAATGCCCATTGGCACATGCAGATCCTAAGTTACACAGGAATATTTTATTCATACGCATTCAATTTTTTTTACAAAAAAAAAAGAAAGAAAAACAAAAAAAGAGGAATCGTACCTCTCGCTCTCATCCGCTGCTTTCTCAGCCTCCTCCAGTTTCTGCAAGGCTGTGGCCAGCCGTTCTTGGGCCCGATCCAGCTCCTCTTCCACGAGCTGGATGCGTCTGTTCAGAGCCGCCACCTCACCTTCAGCCTGTAGGGAACACAACCACCCAAACCTGAGGTTGCAAACGAGCCACTTGCTGGCCGACACACATTCCCATCTCATCAGTCTCCATAAAACCGCAAAGGCTGCTCCTCCAAGCCACTTGCTGGCCGACACGCATTCCCATCTCATCAATCTCCATAAACCCACAAAGGCTGCTCCTCGATAGGAACCTTTCTGTCCCTGCTTTTTGTTTGTTTAAACTATGGCATCTCAGGAATGTCAAGGTACGGAGTATGTGCTTCTCCTTCCTTTTTTAAGGGTACTTATCATTCCTGCCATACAGCCACGGATTAGGCACCCATTGCCGAGGCAGAGTGATTTTCAGATCACTTTACAGGGCAGGATCTACCCGTAGGATTCCAAAGTTAAAAACTTGAACTGCTGCCCTAACAGCGTGTTCCAAAAACTTCACGGTTGATTTTTCTGTTCTTGGTTCCATCACAGATTGCAGCCGTACCCTGCCATAGCACACCGCTGAAGTTAAAGCCATTTCATTATCCGTTGCGGGCTCCTTTGCCTGCAAATGCTATATAATCTTTACGCGGTCAGCCGGGCAGACACAGTTGGCCTCAGCATGGGAGAGTCAGTCTGCTTTGCAACACAAATAGGGCAGAATTAGCGATGTTCTTGAAATAAGTTCACTTTCCTTTTTCATTGCTTCCTCTGGTGCTTAAGGAATTAAGCAGAAAGCACTTCTTAATAATGGGTCTGTTTATATATTATTGAATAACCTGCACAGTAATTGGAAACACTATTAATGTTGAAAATCCAGCCTAGGTAGTAAATGGAGAGGTTGTTGGGAGAAACGCTCGCATAGACAATACGGACAAATTGGTGTCCATAAGCACAGGGTGTTTATTAAGCTATGGCTCCCTTAATTGCTTGTTATTTGAAGGACGATAGACCCCTACTTTAATAACGGCCAGGCTTGTGCACCTAACTGTCCCCAAATCTGAGCACGATTGCTATGTATGAGATTAACTTTTGGTTTAAAGATTTTTTTTTTTTTTTTTTAAAAAAACCCCCACTTTTATGGGCATAGATCCTGGAAGAGCAATTGCTTTATGCTTTATGTTAAATACTTTGAAAAAATCCTTGGTTTGCTGCAGCATCTCAAATTTGGTTACGACTGCTCCTCCTAAGCTGGAGGAAGTGGTTTCCGTTCACAGCTGTACCATCTTGGAAAGGATTTCAGTGACTGATCCAAATGGAAGCTGACCCAGGATTCCTCTAGCCATAAATTATCCGGCTTTTCATTTGTTTTCTACCCAGTGCTATGGGTTTAACTTTCTCGATTTACACACAAGGCATCGATCGTGTAGAACACTGGCATCTGTTCTGTGGCAGCCTGCAACTCCTTCCGCTAGACAGGACACTTTTAAGTCATACTTTAATTAAGCAAGATTCCAAAGCTATGGAGACAGGGCCACTGGGAAGCTGGAAGCTGGTCTGGCTCCACCTCTCCCAGAAGCAGCCCGCAGTCCTTATACGGTAAAACTAACTCGCTGACATGTGATAAAATAGCAGGAAGATGCCGGGAAGGCTGATCACACACAAATCTAAGTGAAACCAGCTGTCCGGCCCCGGGAGAGCCGCACGCTGGTGGAGAGTTCTCATTTCTCTGTGCAAACCAGGAGGGAAAGTTCTTTTCCAGCAGTTCGGACATTTCCCAGCTGTGCTGGAGCCAGCGGTGCGGCGCCGAGAGGCGGGAACTCCCCGCTCGTTGTCATGCAGTGCTTTTTCCTAATTAAACAGCCATTTCCTATTAAACTCGTAACCGCTTCCCGATGCCCATCGGTGTTCGCAACGCCTTTTCCGACGGGAACGGCCCCGAAGCGCGATAAGCAGCGG